GAGCATCATCAATATTTCCTTTACATATTATTATAATAAATGAATTGTTTAGCTTAGAACAATTCCTTAAATTTGGTTTACTATTTATGATACCTTATCCTCTGCATAATTCAGAACTTTCATTTTTACTTTTGCATAATGCTTAATTTAGTTTATTTATTCATTATTTTATATTAATAAATATTTATAAACTAATTTTCATATAAATGATATTAAAATAAATAAAGATTGTATAAAAAGAATAAAACGAATTTTCTAGAAGTATTTATTAAAACAAATTATTCTATGTTTAGTGATAAGATATACATGAAATAATGTAAATGAATATTAAAAACAAATTAAACAATTTTTGAAAATAGATAATATAGAATAAACTATTTTGTTAAAAAGAGAAGCCCTGTTAAGTTTAACAGGAAACTTAAATTCATTATAATTTGTTATCATTATAATACATCCTTTTAACATTCTTAATATTTATAATTTATAACAATTAATTCTGAAAGTAAAAATGTATAAATTAAATAATAAAAATATCAACTAATAAAGACATAATAAAATTCAAAAAGAAATGGATTTTCTAGAATATAAAATCAGAAAAATTTACTTTGCTTCTACTATTTAATTATAGATAGATATTCAATATTATCCTAAATAAATTAATAAATAAATTTAATATTGCAATGATTTCATTTAACTAACAATCTAATTAAAATTCTCTTTATATTTTACATTTTCTCATAATTTTTCCCTACTTTCTAATGATTTGACAAGATTTATAAGTAAAATTTTTTGCTAAATATTTTGAATTCTATACCTTAAAGTTTAATCTTATATTAGTGTTATTATGGATAATAAAATAAATTGTTGGATATTATTCATTAAATTTATTTCATAAAATCTTCGTTTATCAATAATTGATTATATCTCTTCTCTTCTATTTTATTTAATTTTTTTGGTAATTCTTACAATTCTTTATCTTCTATTTAAACTTGATCTTGAACAACTATTTCACTTTCTACTACTTCTGTAAAATTATGTTTTAATAAAATATTATATCCTTTAATTAATAATATTAACAAGATTACATTATATATTAATATTATGATATAAAAATTTAAGAGTATATAAATTTAATTAAATTGTTAATTCTATTAGTAATATTAATAATGTTCAAATATTCAATAATAGAAAATAAACATTAGCTCACCTGTTCTAAAAATCATAATTAACCTATTTAAATTGTATTATTAGATGAACAATTAACAAATAATTAGAGACTTTTATGCAATGAATGTATTAACAACTTTGAAGGGAATGCCAATATAGTTGGGTTTCAAAAAATCTTCTCAATTATAGAAAATGATTAAAAACAAAAAACCGAAAATATGGAAAACTTAATAATATAAACAAAATTAAAGCTAGAGGATGTTAGAACAAAGCTCTATAATCTTAAAACAAAAATCAATTTTTAACTAGATTAATTATAAGGTATTGTAGAACAATGGCAAAATTGGTTAGATTAAATCTTGCCAAGCACTTTTACATATAGTTTCTTTGAAGAGTTAGAAAATCTAATTAAAAAAAAAATATCAATATCTAAAGAACATGAGAATTTAATGAACAATATTAAATTTAATAACTAATCTTGTCAATAAAAAATGGTATCTTTATTAAATTAACTTATAACGTTACAACAATAGGATGAATTCTAAGAATTAAAAAGATCCTTGAAATTATTGGAAAAATCTGATTTGAAATGTTATACTGAACAAGAAAGCAGAAAGAATGAAAAAAATAAGAATGATAATTTTGATATATAACTGATTGATAATAAGATAATATAACCAGAACCTTGTAGAGCTATTTCATTTAATAATTCTAATTAAATTATGATATCCACAAGTAATTCAATAATTAGAGTATTCAGATTTTCAAATAGTATAATTGAAGAAATATGCTAATTGGATGGGCATTCTATGAATGTTTACGTATTAATATTTAGTAAGCTTTCTAATTCTTTTATATCTGGTTCAGCTGATTCTTCAATTCGATGTTGGTAATAAACAGAACCTACTTAATGGAAATCTTCAAAACCTTATAAATAACATTCTGGATTTATATAATGTGCTATTATAAACTAAAAAGAAAATCTATTATTTTCAGCAGGAGAAGACAAAATAATTTACATTTGGAAGTTGAATTTAATCAAAAATTATTTGGAATATTAGAATTAATTAATATAACATTAAGGAAAAATAGATGCATTAAGTTTAAATCAATCTGAAACATTTTTGGTTTCTTGTGGTTACGACAAAAGAATTATTATTTGGAAAAAAGAAGGGAATGATTGGATTTTTAATCATATTGTTAAATAATCTATTTATGAGAATGGATATAGAGTTAAATTTTTGAGAGATGAATTATTTTTGTGGGTTGCAACTAACTCTTTTGTTTATTTTTTTGAACTTAATAAAGGAGTGTTTTAAGAAAAAAAAGATTAAGCAATAGAATTGTAAAAAAATCATCTATTTGACGCATTCCTATTTCCTATTCTACATAATCCAAATTAAAATTTAATCATAATTAGGCATAAAAATTTCATATACATTATTAGAGAGACCTAGGACAATAAGTTCCAAATAGTAAAATCTATTAGTTGTCAATGGAATAGAGTTTAAGGTACGATTACTAATGATGGATAATTTTTAGTTTTTTGGGATTGTAAAGAAGTTAAGAAAAATGAAAGTTCTAATGGAAGTTATTTTGTGTATAGACTTTCTGTAAATTGAATAATTATTTTATTTAAATATATTTATTAAAAATAAAGAAGATTAAATTAATTTTAATAATATTTAATTACAGAAAGGATTATTCCATAAGATAAAAAAAACTTAAAGTAACTCAATTTGAAACTACAATTATGCTTCTTACATTGAATTATTTATTAATAAATGAGAGTTATCAGATATAGTCACACTCTATTTGGAAATTCTTCCATAAGAAACATCCTGAATATTATGCAAATACTTCAATTTTACATGTATTTCTAAAAAGATTTTAATATATTGCCTAATCCAAAAATTCTAATAAATAAGAATAATATATCATTATCATTTAAAATCATCAAATAGAACTTATTCTATTTTGGTTAGATAAAATAAATTATAATTGTATTTAGTTCTCATCTATAGTGTTAAATTATCTCTTGCATCTAATTTAACAGTAATAGATAAACAATATCATAAAAATGATTTTTGCTACGTTTTATGAATAAGTGATTGAAAAATAGATTACAAAATCATTACGAAAATTATAATTATAATCTAATTAATTAATATTTCTTACCTAGTCTCTTTACTAAATAAATTATCTATTAATCTTGTCTACAAGAGACTAATATAATTAATAATTAGTTTAAACATGCAGAAAGCTCACAATCTTAGTGTGTATCAAATGATTATAATATTTTTAATCAATACTTACTTGAATACATTTCCATATATAGATTAAGATATTAATTAATTTTATTCATTCATACTTCAATAATGTAATTTAATCAATGAGTCAATGATAAGTATATTATATTATTTGAATGAACTTTCAATTATTAGATTAATTAAAGTTTGCCTTCATGAAAGCTCCAAATTTTTAAATCTTGTTTAGAAGTTGATATCCTCTATTTCTCAAATCTAATTTGCTTTATATCCGTATGTTCATTTATGATTTTAGGTTATCAAAATAGTTCTTTTTATTTCTTAATATATTCTTTTATTATTTATATCTTTCTATCATATCTTCATAAAAATGTTTTAACAAAAAGACTAATTATACAAATATAGCCAATTATATACTTTTCTTCAAAAATATATAACTAACATAATGAATATTATGAATATGCATAGGTAAGGAACTGCTATGTAGATTAATATCAGTTTCAATAGGAATTTCTTAAAAAATCAAAGCTTAATTTGAAAAGTAGGATTAACAAAAAAAGGATGTTTATCGCAATGGTAATTCATAAAAATAAACTGTAAAGAAAATAAACAATGCTTTATGAATCAAGTTAACAATGCAATAGTTTTTAGTTAAATGATTATTAGTTTTGATTCTATAATGATGAATAATTTTCCTTAAATTGTTTATTTTCATAAAGAATAGTATATTGAGAACAAATAAATTTATACAGTTTCAAAACTAAAACTATGAATAATATTTCTACATTAGCTAATATTATGTTAACGATAACGACTTAAAATTCTGAATTCTTTGAATATTTTAATTATTCTATTTCATCATGAACACTAATGCTAGCATTTCTGGCAGTACCAATCAAACTTGCTTTCGAAATTTATTAGATATGATCCCCTTTTGAATTCTATATAAGTTACATCTAATTATACAATATAGTATTTTGAAAGCCCATAATCAATTAGATAAATCACTATAGGTGATGAGCTTGCCTCAAGTAAAAATTTATCAGGTTTAATGTCACTTTGCAAAAAGCAACGATTATGGAATGCTTCGATTCGATCTATCATCGATTAACTATAAATTGTTTAGAAACTTATTTCAGTTTTTTTGACACTTATTTAAAAGTAATCAAGATATATCTTTAGAATCAACTATATAGTTGACCTACTTGTATTATTATCTTTAATGATTTCCCAATACAAAATTTTCTTCACACTTTCATACTACAGATTCCAAATTCCTTCATAGCATATTCATTATGCAATATGTCATCTGCTTTATTATTAAATATGATTGTTTTTGATTTAATAATACAAATTTATTTAAAAACCTTATCATATTTAATACAATAATGTATGAATATATTAAATTATTTAAATTAAATTTATTTTTCATATTCTATTATAGTTTATTTAATTTACAAGTTGATAGAAATATTTTCAATTTATAATTCATAATAATAAATCAATTTCATAGATTTAAATTAAATTAATGTTAGACAATATCTTAGTTAGTATTGATTCTTTTTATCCAATTATTAAACAAAAAAATACAAATAGATATTATCATTATTGTAATTAGATTACACATAATTAGTAATAATATGTTAACTACTTATAATAATTATTTGAATTCACTATTTGATTATAAATTGTTTAAAAATCATTAATTCCGTCTCTAGAATGCTTCTTTTTGTAAACTAGTAGTAAAATTGATTAATTCATTATTTGAATCAAGTGAAATTTCAGCAGCTTTAATACATAAGACTAATGCCATAAAAAATTATGAATTTCCTCTATATTATTTCCAAGTATTGCCTTTCCCAGCCGAACTACATTCAAAAGAAGCATCTTGAATTAAATACCCATCACATATTTTTAAGTGATGTTGACAAAATATATCACCATATTAACTGACGAAACACAACTCAGAACATGATTTATGATGCCAATTTCTTATTTCTTCAGATTTGCATTAACAATCAAAGGGGCAGCTACTTTTTAATGGGATTATTTAGCCCTTATTGACTCCTCCTTTAGGTGGGTACTAAGTTTGCATAAGTGTAGTTATATAAATAATGAATTAAAGAGAAGGATCTTAGCAACTTTACAAAATAAAAAATATTCTATTGCATTCATATTTGTTAAAAACTAATAAGAAATGATCTCTTTTAGATTATTTATTAATTACATAGCCTTATATAGACACTTTGATTTATATAACTTGATA